ACAACCATAGTGCTGCTGAAGACACAACCACGGGTGTCTAGCCCCGCCCCCCAGGACAGTGACCTAACCCCAGAGCTTGACCAGTGGGTGGGTTGGGAGCTGCTCTTCCAAGACACACACTAGCCATCTCACTTTACAGTCTGTCTCCTCGCCATCCAGAGCTTGGGCAAATTTATTCCCTACATCCCTACCTCATTTCCTGCCCCTCCCAAGTCCACTGGAGGCCAAAGATCAGGCGGGCTCCAGAGGTCTTCTCAGAGAAAGGGGTGCAAAAGGGTTTCATGAGCTGCCTGATGAATGAGGGTGGGGAGTGGGGGAAGAGCTTCAGTTCAAGAAAAAGAGAAAGGGAGGGGAACAAATATTTCGGAGACCTATTTTGTACCAGATACAACATGGGTGCTTTCTCATCCATTACTCACTCCCCCACATCCATCCAAATGTTCGTGAGGTTGACATCAGGATTTCTAGTTTAGGGATGAGGTGACTGAGGCTCAGAGAGGTTATGTGACTTCTCAAATGTTGCACAGCAGGCAATAGAGTCAGTATATAGATTCTCATTTGCCTGAGTCGAGGGAAGAATAAATGTGGCAAAAGTTGGTCTGAAAAGATATGAAAAGGCTGGAATGTGGGCAAAGGATGAACAGGATCCCAACCCCACGGCCAGGCAGGAGCACTGGGCTTGGTCAGTGGCTGCTGGGAGCAAGTGTGCATGGTTTTGCTCTGGCACTTCTGCAGAACGTGCTGGTGGGGTGGGGGAGAGTCCTCGGCTCCCCACAGGGCTGTAACTGGGATGGGAGGCATCTAGTTCTGGTTGCCCTTTCTGCCCCCAGGCCTTGTTCTACCGTGGGTCCTTGATGGGTTAGGAGAGATTTTGTGATGGGCTGAGAATCTGGACCAAAGACCCCAGGGATGGGTTGAGAAGGCCTTGGGGGAGGGATATTGTTATTTTCTTGGCCCAAGAAAGAATTCGAACTGAAGATGAGTTTTGGCCAGCAAAGGGCCAAGGAGGGTAGGGGATACAAGGTCCAGCACGTGTATTGGGAGGAGGAAGAAGGTCAGTGGGACCAGAGCCGGGACCAGAGCCGGACCCAGCACTGTGTGTACATGGGGGTGGGAGTGGAAGGCCCAGGGACCAGCAGTGAGGGGGGATTGGGGGCAGAGGGGCGCGACTTCAGAGCAGTGCTCTCTGGGCCTGGGGCCCAGGGGTGGAGACCTGGTGAGCTAAGGGCCCAAAGGAATTGGGGATGGGGGGATCTCAGCTGGCTGTTGCCCCAGACTGAGGAGTCCTCTGGTTCCTAGTCTGAGTCAAGTCCTTCCCTGTCCTGGCTCCTAAAATAAATGGACACCCCAGCATC